TCTTGTTGTGAAGGATAAGACCCCAGAGGAAGCATAGTGTGGCTTCAAACCCTTAGTGGAGCACTTTAACGTGTTCGGTTGCATCGGACATATGCACATTCCTAACAAGAAAAGGCAGAAGCTTGATGATAAAAGTCTCCAGTGTGTCTTCTTGGGCTTAAGCAAGGAATCTAAAGCCTATAGGATGTATAATCCTATGTCAAAAAAGGTAATTATAAGCAAGGATGTGGTGTTTGAAGAGGACAAGACGTGGGATAAGAGTAAAACAATTGAAGGAGTTAGTTGTGTTGTTCTTGAATGGGGAGATGAAGATGAGCTACAAGGGCATGCAGAAGAAGGTGGGCATGAAGAAGAAGAGTAGGTTGAAGATGGTGCTACTGATTCGTCATCAAGTGAAGATGCTGAACACAACCTTGCTACTGGTTCTGGTTCTGGTTCTGGTTCGTCATCAAGTGAAAAAGCTGCACACAACCCTCCAAGTTTAGTTTAAAGGAGGGTAAGAAGGGCGCCAACTTGGATGGAAGATTATGTAAGTGGGGAGGAATTATCTGAACAAGAAGAGAATAATTTGATGATGTGTACTGCCTCTAGTGATCCTATGTTTTTCGAAGAAGTTATCAAGAGCCCGAAGTGGAGAAAGGCAATGGAATTGGAAATCAAAACCATTGAGAAGAATAGGACTTGGGAACTGACTACACTTCCAATTGGAGTAAAAAGGATAGGAGTGAAATAGGTATTTAAGACCAAGCTAAATGAGAATAGGGCAGTGAATAAATACAAAGCAAGGTTTGTGGCCAAGGGATACTCGCAACAGTTTGGAATAGACTACAACGAAGTGTTTGCACTTGTCGCTCGTTGGGACACCATTTGAATGATTCTACTTTTGCTGCTTGCAAAGTTTGGAGTGTGTACCAGCTCGATGTGAAGAGCGTTTTCTTGCATGGGGACTTGAATGAGGCAGTGGTTATTGAGCAACCTCGGGGGCTATGAAGTGAAGGGAGAAGAAGACAAGGTTTATAGACTCAAGAAGGCCCTATACGGACTTAAACAAGCCCCTCAAGCTTGGTACAACAAAATTGAGTCCTATTTCATGAAAAAAGGTTTCGAAAGGTGTCTGAATGAACACACCTTATTTACAAAGGCAAAAGAAGGAGGGAAATTGCTTATGGTGAGTGTTTATGTTGATGATCTCATTTTCATAGGGAATGATAAAGCAATGTTCATCAAGTTCAAGAACTCTATGAAACAAGAGTTCGACATGTCTGATATTGGGAGGATGAAATACTTTCTCAGTGAGAAAACAAGTATTTAGAGAGGCAAAACTCAAGGTGCAGGGATGTGTGTTGGGAGACGTGTTGTGAGATATAGAGATATGTCTCTCCATGTGAAGAGAACTTACAATATATAAGTTTGGTGAGACAGTGACGTGAGGCGGTGATGTGAGTGAGAGAGACACTATTTCTTTGATAAGTACAATTAAAGTAAGATTTGATTTCCATGAGTGCATATCCCGGTATTCTCTCTCTCCCCACGTGCTCCTATCTTCCCAGACTCCTTGGATCTTGGACTGGGTTGGATCGGTGAAGTGGACTTGGCCTACCTTTTAGCTGACTTGAGCTCAATTAATTTATTAGGTCTGGCACAATCGATTTTGCGCTCATCAAATGACTTTTTTTTACTCCTCAATCTTATTTGGGTGTAAACAAAAATTGAAACAAGTCTATTTTTGTGATATTTGGCCCACATAAATGAAGATACATAACATTTAGAATCTAGTAAGTAGTTAGTCTTCTAATTTACTGATACGGGCACGGGGTCTCGTTCATTAGTTAGGGGAAACGACAGTTATAGTTTATCTTTTGTATATGTACTAGTTATTGCTTATGCTTGACAACACAGAATAATAAAAAATGGTAAATAATTAACATATATATATTTATATTCAAAATCAAATTATAAACATAGAGGAGAGATAAATGAATTTAAACATCGATTGTAGTAGGGGTGAGAGATGGTGGGCAGCAGTTGTGGTGGAAGGAAACGATGATGGTTGTGGTGGGTAGTAATGACCATGGTGAAGGCGGCGACGATAGTGGTTGTGGTGGCTAGGCGGTGGTGGCAGCTGCAGCCGTGGTGGTGGCGGTGGTGGTAACGACAATGGTGGCAGCGATGGTGGTGGGGGTGGCGGTGGCAGCTGCAGCCGTGGAGGTGGCGGTGGTGGTGATGGGGTGGTAATAGAGGTAGTGGTGGGACAGTTTCAAACACTATTTTTTTTAAGTACTCATGAGAAATAATTTCTAAATGTACTTTTAAAAAGTCATTCCAAACACACCCTTATAGTCTATTTTTCTTATTAAATTTAGGGTGTTAACATTAGCCGTTAGATTAACTTTAAAGTAAAATTTAAAGCGATCTGAACCACGAAAAATAAAAGTCATTTTATTTATCTTTTAAAATTTGAATTATAAACTACTTTATTATATAGATTGATGTTTTATTTTTGGTCATTGTATAAACAGTTCATAAAAAGACAAGTGCACAACATTCAAGTAGAAAACTAAACGAAATGAAACCAGCATCTTCTAGCTAGCCTATTCCGTCTCTTGCTTCCTTTACAGTGAACGGCAAGATTCATCCCGTTAGAGCTCACACCCATTGTTGGGTAAGTATCCCTTTGCATGTTTTGGTAGTAATTAGCTTATAGATTGAAATTGTGTTATCTTTTGTGGAGGATGAAGTGAAATTGTATGACAAATGGAAGCCATTCACCAATTGGTTCCTTTGATTGAGAGCAATTCTTAATGTCTTTTGAATTTTCAGGTGCCTAGTCCTTGTGTCATTTGCCCCCCATTTCTTCTTCTTTTTTTTTTCAAGATTTTTCATCTTAAATACATCATTTCATGGTGTTCATCAGAGGACTCAAATAACTGGTGTTCCAAGAAACTCTTTAGAACTCTTACGAAGTAATCTCAAAATTTCTTAAAACCCTTGTTGTCTATTAAATTTTGTGCTTTCGTCGAATAAATTTGAGTCATGAACAGAAATAAGTATTTTTTTCAACTAGCATTTCAACGTTTGATTTTATGTTTCAATAAAAGGTATTTATCTCCTTGTTTTTCTCATGGTACAATCCTATTGCCGTCGAGCCTCATAACAATGGATTTGAATCTAAGTCTTGGTAGGTGTCACTAAAAGGTTCTAATAAGATCCAAAGATGAATCAGAATTGGGTTGGAAAGTACCTCTTTGTTTGAAAGATTAAAGTTGTGTATATTTGGCTCGCTTTAGCCCTGTAGGTACTATAATATTTACACAATTAGATTATTTTTTTTTTAGCAATTATACGTATTTCTAATGTATGCATAAGTAGTGATTGAGGTACTTATACAGCTAAAACCCTTTTCTCCCAGGTCCACCAAGTGGTCGAGGTCCATTGTACATGACACTTGATTCAATTTTGGGTTTATGCTTAGACTAAAACCCACGGGAAGAATACTTGTTGTGGGCTGTCATATGAAATAAAATGGGAAGTTATTGAAGGTAACTTTTGTCTCAAGGAATACGAATCATAACATTTTAATTTGATAGACGTAAGAAATAAATAAGTCTATACAAACCGAATATATAATAAGTCTAATTTTTTTTTTTCGATAAATAAGTAAATTTTATTGGATAAGTATAATTTTTTTTTTTGATCATCGAGAACTACCGAACTTACACTTGCAAAGTGTAAGTTCCATAGTCTCTATATAAGTACACATACACACGCCGCCAGGGCTATCTAATGTGGGATAGTCCCATCCCTTTAACCTACTTAGGCCCAAACGCCTCACCCAACCCGTAGGCGGGCTCTAGTGGAAGTAGATGAGCCCACACACGGACGCCGTGGAACGCGCACACACTCTCATAATTTTAATTTTTTTTTATCAATGATAACTAAAAAATTTACACTTACAAAGTATAAGTTCCATAGTCTTTATATAGGCGCACACACACTCAGAGCTATCTCATGTGGGATAGGCCCACGATAAGTATAAAGTTCAATTACAAAGAAAAAAAAAAAGCCTCAAGGATCCAACTTAACCACAAGTTCAGCAAATGGACAATAAAAAAAAACTTGGCAAAACAAAACAAAGAAACACTAGTACTCTCTTGAGCAACTGACATGCACACTATGGTATGTTTTTGGTCTTCGATGATATGAGTCCAATTGTTATTAAACATATTTTTACACCATAGGAATTATTTATAATATAAAATAAGAAAAATTTTAATAAATTTATTCGACAGTATCAAATAAATTTATCTAACGGTTACTAACATTCTTTACAAAATCATTAACGTTAAATTCCCCTCTAATTCAGTACTTCTCACTTATGTTAGATCGTACTTTCAAGTACGAATTACCCCTAATTTAAACATAAATCTGCCATATTTTGACATGAATTTGGGTTATGCCTGAATGATTTGCGGTTTATATTTATTTTCAGATCTAATTGGGTCAAAATATATTCGGCCCGACAATATGGGTCTCACAACAAAGTTGTGGCCTAACTTGCGACAGACACAAAGGGTTTTTACATACTTTGTACCTCAGAAGATTTCAAATTTTTTATTTTACACACTCAAAAATTATATTTTTCATACTATATATTTAATGTATCATAAGTATTATATTGATATTGATGGAAAAATTGACAAAAATATTGATGGAAAAATTAACAAAAATATACAAAATGACCACATTGTCATATTTTTGATATATTAAAGGTATAATATAAAAATTTTAATTTTTAAAAATACAAAATAAAACATTTAAAATATTTTAGGGTATAAAATGTAATTCATCCCAAACACAATCCTCCAAATAACCAAACTATCCCCTTTTAAAGCGGAGGAAATACTCTCGTCCCAAGGACAAATATGTAATTTCAAAACTACGCGATGGCGGTCTCTTAATAAAACACTTCTTCGTCGTCTCGTTCATCTCTCTGGTCTCACGTCGTGGAGAAAATCCTCTGAATTTCCGTCTCGTCTCTTCTATTTCAGCACCTATAAACCTAGAAATACCTTTGGCTTTGCACCGTGACATCTGAAATTAATTTATTCGAAGCTTTAGTTGAATCTGATCGACGAAACGAGATCTTAGAGTCGAAGTTCTTGGTTTTCAAAATCCCCAACCAATTCATGTTCATATTATCAGAAAAATGATACTTTCACTCATCGGTCGCTCTCTCTCTCGCTCTACATGCCACAGAGTAAGCTCAATTTATTATTTTTTTTATTGACAATTTACTGTTATTCAATTTTTATGTTTATCTACTTTTTTTTTTCGTGTGCAGATTGTTATTTCTGGTAATTGTGGTGTGAGGTCAGCGCTTTCAACTGAAAATGCGTGTATGGAACGCGTTGATGGTGGATTAGGGCTTGTGAGGGGTTATTTAACTTCGATTGGGGCTGGAAAGAAGGTTGTTTCAAATACGTATTTATTGGAATTCAATTCGGTTTTTGCGAATCCTAGGCTCCGGAGGTTTTTTTGCAGTGAAGCGCCGAAGAGAAGAAGTAAGAAGCATTGAACATTGTGCTCACAATGTACAATTTGTATTTGTTTTATGACAAAATATGTTGTGTATAATGATGTTGTATATTGAAATATGTTTTGTATAATGTTGTTGCAGACTATGAGAACTATTATCCAAATAATAAGAAAGAAATACCGAAAGGAAACAATCAAAAGTCCGATTCCAAAGGTATGTATTGGTTTCAGCTTTGTTTGATGGCAGATATCTTCCTATATTAACATGGTTTATGGATAAGATTATGACTTATTGTGAACTTTCTGTATGTGTTTGCGTGCATGGGCATAAACAGGTGTTTGATAATGTAATCTTTATGGAGGATGAAGTAAATTGAATGACAAATATTTACCCAAAACATTGTACAAAAAACATAATCCATTCAATAATTGGTTTCTGAATAATATCTACTGTCAGCCTCGGTCATCTTTGTTGAATTTCAGCTGCCTTTTCCTTGTTTCATTTGCCTTTTTGTTCCTTTGGCATAATGAATTCCTTCTCCATTTTTTCTTTTCAAGATTTTCCATTTTTAAATAACGTTAAATTTTGTATTGTTTACCAGAGGACTCAAGTACGGGTGATCAAGGAAACTTTCAGCAAAACTTTATGAAACATTTTCAAAACATATTGATACCACTGTTACTTATTGGATATGTGTTTTCCTCACAATTTTCGAGTCCTCATGACCAGAAACAGGTAATTTCTTTAACTGTAGTGTCAACATTTGGTTTTCTGTTTCCATTAAACTTCATGGTGGCTCAATGGTCAAGTGTAATTATTTTCCTTTGTATATGAGATAAGCTATATGCTGATTGGCATTTTTTATTATTCAAAGGATGTTAATTAACTCAGTTTTGGCGTGCACTCATTTTATTGCAACAGTGAATCATATCTTGCTTTATTTTTCATTTGAATAGGGTGTTATTACAATACATAATCCTTTTTGTTTCTGAGCTTCAGTTCGTAAGTGCAGCTACCAGCTTCACTTATGCTTCTTTCTTCAGTAGAACTTTGACTGAAATTCTTGTATGCGAGTAAAAAGGTTAAACGAGTTTCAAAGCAATGGCGCTGAATCATGTATGTGCTCATGCTGTAGACACTGGTGCTGATGATTTATTGATAAGTTGTTGCACTTATTGTCTCCTGGAATACTTTCTTTCTTTGTTTAAGTCTAATTGTTCTTGTTTCTGTATTTGCCTAGCCTTCAAAAGCAGTCAGGATTAGTATATTTTACCCAGATAACCTACATGCAAGACTTTAGTTAGCCTTTAAATGCAACCCATTAGAAATGGCTTCTCAAACAAGTAGGGACAAAAGCATTTAGAACTCCAGGTACAATACATTCCATTACAAGGCATGTTGGAGTGGCAAATGTAAGGCTACAACTTCACAAGTAATGTTGGGTGAGTTCCCACTGATTGTAGGTTTAGGCATAGTGATGGGGTTTGTGTGATTATGAGGTGTGTTTATGCGAATAAATGTTCAGTTTTGCATTGAGAATTATATACTGGCTCTGCCTGATTTTATGCACTTACTAGATAGTGCATATACTTTTCAGATTAGTTTCCAAGAGTTCAAGAACAAGCTACTTGAACCTGGCCTGGTGGATCGCATTGTTGTTGCCAATAAATCAGTTGCGAAGGTGTATGTAAAGAGCTCACCGCCTAGTACAAATCAAGCCAGGGATGAGATTGTCCAGGGTCCTACTAATGGTACCAATGCTAGACGGAATGTGAGCCAGTATAAGTACTATTTTAATATTGGAAGTGTCGACTCCTTTGAGGAGAAGCTGGAGGAAGCCCAGGAGGCATTAGGAATTGACACTCGTAAGTATGTTCCTGTGACATATGTGAGTGAAGTGAATTGGTATCAAGAACTGATGAGGTTTGCCCCTACGGTCTTACTTCTTGGATCCCTTGTGTACATGGGACGCAGAATGCAGGGTGGATTAGGTGTTGGTGGTCCTGGTGGGAAGGGTGCCCGTGGGATATTCAATATAGGAAAAGCACATTTTACGAAAATGGACAAGAATGCTAAAAACAAGGTGAGCTATGTATTCATTTTTCGCGTTGTTTTGATCTTTTTGAAACTCGTTTACGTTATCATTTGGTTGTGGCACAAGTAGTTGATTTTATTTGGTGCCCCAGGTCTATTTCAAAGATGTAGCCGGCTGTGATGAGGCAAAGCAAGAAATCATGGAGTTTGTGCACTTCCTGAAGAATCCAAAGAAATATGAGGAATTAGGAGCAAAAATTCCAAAAGGCGCTCTTCTTGTAGGTCCTCCTGGGACTGGGAAAACACTTCTTGCTAAAGCAACTGCAGGTGAATCGGCTGTCCCTTTTTTGTCTATATCAGGATCTGATTTTATGGAAATGTTTGTTGGAGTTGGGCCAGCTAGGGTTAGGAGCTTATTTCAAGAGGCAAGACAATGTGCGCCTAGTATCGTTTTTATTGATGAGATAGATGCAATTGGTCGAGCAAGAGGGCGTGGGGGCTTTTCAGGGGGCCATGACGAGCGTGAAAGTACTTTGAATCAGTTGCTTGTAGAAATGGATGGATTTGGGACCACTGCTGGGGTAGTTGTACTTGCTGGGACAAATAGACCTGATATCTTAGACAAAGCCTTGTTAAGGCCTGGTCGATTTGATCGTCAAATTACCATTGATAAGCCTGACATCAAAGGCCGTGATCAGATATTTCAAATTTATCTTAAGAAGTTGAAACTTGATCAGGAGCCATCGTTTTACTCCGAGAGGCTTGCTGCTTTAACTCCTGGATTTGCTGGGGCAGACATTGCAAATGTTTGTAATGAAGCTGCTTTGATTGCTGCAAGGACGGAGAGTACACTGATTACAATGGAACATTTTGAGGCCGCTATAGATAGAGTCATTGGAGGTCTGGAGAAAAAGAACAAGGTATTTTGTTTATCCCCTGTTTCAGCTACGTGACCACACCCACTGTACATTTGTGTCGGTGTGTGTATATTTTTTGTTCTCAAAGACGCTACTTTTGGTGGGTTAAGTTTCGAAGTTTAAGATAATTTTTGTGTTTTTCTTGGCTTTTTTGGTGTGGGTTTTCTTTTTTTTTTTTTTGGGGGGGGGGGGGGAGTGTTGGTGTGAAAATTTGAAGGTATTTTAGGGGAAAAGAGGAAAGAACATGAATTTGAAATAACATGCTAGAGCCATCCTTTATTCCATGTATTGGACTTTATACCACCCATTCTTTTTGGCAGGCACCTCTTACACAAAAACTTTTATAGAGGTATGTGTTCTCCAAAAAATGTCCTCATGGCTAGGGATGGCAGTGGCTGGGCTTAGGGCTAGGGAAGGTAAAGTTATGATTATGGAATAAGATTTCAGGGTGATTAATTTTAAAGAAGGTCTTGCACAGATTTAGGAATCCAGACATCCAACTGAATTATGTATCAACCAAAGCATGTTACCAGCACTATTTATATCCTAGTGTATATGCTTTGTGTATATATACTGCAGGACTGAATATTTACATTGCATGCCTTTGTGAACATTTTAATCTGACAATAGTGTGTGTGCGCTTTGGGGATGATTGAGGCAGTATTTGCACATCTCCGCCTGAGTGCTAACTATTTGTATTAATCAAAGATGCACTGTGAAAACTTGAGATGCAATTCTTAACTCTCTTGTATTTTTGTTTTTCCATGCAGGTTATAAGCAAACTAGAACGGCGGACCGTTGCTTACCATGAATCAGGCCATGCTGTTGCTGGTTGGTTCCTGGAACACGCAGAACCATTGCTGAAAGTGACAGTTGTTCCTCGTGGTACTGCCGCTCTTGGTTTTGCTCAGTATGTGCCCAATGAAAACCTTTTGATGACTAAAGAGCAGCTCTTTGATATGACTTGCATGACCCTTGGTGGGCGAGCAGCTGAACAGGTGAACTATGAAAAATTCCTCGTCTTTATCTTCCATATTCATCACGATAATTGAGTTTCAAGTTGTTTGGTTTGAAAATGTGGTCAGCTATCAGGAAGTCGGGGTTTATTTTGTTGTGTTGGTACGATGTTTAAGCCTCTAAATTGATATAAGAGAACATTTCAAAACTAAGAACAAAGGCCATGCCTATGAAGGAAGGGAGTTTCTATCAACTGCCGTAGGCTCATGTATTGTGCGTTTGGCCTTTTTATTGTGAATTATTCTAACTTTGTCTTTAAATACAAAATTTACAAATAAGCTCCTGGTGTTTGTTGCCACGTTTTTTAACTTCTATTTTATGTAGAAATTTCAGTCACTTCCAGATAACATGGAAACAACAATTTATGAGTTTTTTTTTTGGTATGTAACAATATATGAGTTATCTGAAGATTTATTTCGGGTAGAAAGATAATTATTTGGTATAGTTTTACAACTTTGATTAAGTTATACACACGGATTCATTCATCCTACCTGAAAAAGTGTATCACATTTGAAGCATGTATGCATTCAAATTACTATGAAAACCATGTACTTTCAAGCAATCTTTTAATTACTAAATTGTAGAGAAACTTTGTACTTCATTGTATTAATTTTCAGACTGAAAAGAATATTTAATTAGTAGAGGGATCGGTTGCATGCATCCATTTCTAAAAACACACGTAATTAAATTGCATATAGATAACTCTGTATAAATATGGGAACCTTATATCTGCTTGTAAAGACTTGGATTTTGGAGAACAAAAATTGGGACAAGAACGAGTGCAAGAGTGATTAGGGGTTCGGAGTACGGATAGCCGGACTGTGAATTAATGACTTTGGAGTTTGTGCGTAGGTGTTATGGTCATGAATAAGATGTTAGATTGGGGTAGAAGTGTTACTGGTAAAGACAGGATGAGTAGGGACCCAGATTCGGACAAATTAGGGTTAGCGCCTACTTAGTACATGGTTCAAAGTCGCGGTATCGGCCCTTAACTCAGAGGCTACTGAGACACGTTGGTCGCGGCGCAGTATTGGCAGATACGCCTAAAACACTATATAGAAGGCTCAAAAAAATTAGAAAAATTAGAAAAAATTGTAATAAATATAAATATCATCATTTATGCATCATATCCCTAAAAGACATTATTTAATACATTAATCATTGCAAAAAAGAATAATAAGTATGCTATCAAAAAATATTTATTATCATCTATATTCAAGGATAATATAATATAATTTGTAATTTTTAAAAATTATAAAAAAATAAAAGTGTATATATATGGTTAACTTAATAGCTTTAAAAATGAAAATCTATTTATAAAGAAATTCTTTATTTAATATGTATCTAATTAGAAATTATATGTATTTTCTTCATAATGCACATTTAATTATTAAATCATCAATACATATACAAAAGCGAACTTAAGAAGGTAAGTTCTAATTAGATTGTATGATAAATATTAAAAATTATATAATTAAAAAAATTGGGCCAAAACCGAAAAACAAAAAGAAAGGGAGGACAGAATAAATTTTTAGGTCTTTTAGGCCAAAGCCTTCCGTACTTTGACCCAAAAAAAAAAATCTCTCTCTTTTCAACTCTCAGTCTTCAACGAACAGAGAGAGAGAGAGAGAGAGAGAGAGAGAGAGAGAGAGAGAGAGAGCACAAAGACGATGGGTTTGGGAGGCTCGTTGGTCGCTAAAGGCTCACTGGGAGACTCGCTAGGGTTTTTGCAATTGATTTACAATGTTGATCGATGATGCTGGGTCCTCTGCTACTGCGAAGAAGGAAGAAAGTAAGAACAAATAGTAGAAAAGGGTCTTTGATTAGAGAGATTTACCACAATTTTTCAGGTTTGTGTTCAATTTTGTTCTAACTTACTAGTTTTGTTTTTATTATGGTAAAAGGGGGTCTGATTTAGGGTTCAATTTCTCATTTTTTTTCCCCTTTTTTGGTATTTTCTTTGTGGCTTGAAAGTTGGTGCACGATTCTGTGTGTATTAGTTCGATTTGAAGTGAATTGGCCGAGTTTGTCTGAGTTGAATTCGAGTTTGTCCGAGTTAGACTGAGTTTGCCCAAGTCAGAACTGATTTATGGTAGACTCGTGATAATCTTGAATCGTGTATCGTTATCGGATCGATGCTTGCTAAGGCGGATCCGACTCGGCCGATATTTTGAATCTTGACTTAGTAGTTAGGGGTGTGAGAGTTGCATTAGCAGATCAAATTGGAGGTTAATTCGATATTCAAAAAAATTAACAGATAATTTTTTAGTGCTTGATTTAATATTGGGTTAATTGCACTGGAGATCCCCAAAGTATGAAGTTTGTCTCATTTTAGTCCTCAATGTTTTAATTGCATCATTTTGGTCTTTAAAATATTAAATATGTTTCTATATGGTCCTTTAAGCAGACAACGTCCAGATTACTAACGATTTTTTATCATAAACTTGTCACGAAATACTCAAATATGGACAAAAAATAATTTAGATAACTCTTGACCAAATTTCTATTCAAACTTTGTTAAATAGCTATCTAAATTACACAGTTTTGATCATGAGTTATCCAAACTTTAGTCAAAAATTACCCATATTACACATTTTTTTTTTCAAGAGCTACCCAAATTTTGTTTAAGAGCTATTAAAATTATTTTTTTGTCTATATTTAGGTATTATGTGATAAGTTTATGATAAAAATCGTTAGCAATCTAGACTCTATCTGGTTGAGGAACCATATAGAAACATATTCAATACTTCAAGGATCAAAATGATGCAATTGAAATATTGAGGACTAAAATGAGAAAAATTCCATATTTTGGGGACTTCTAGTGCAATTAACCCTTTAATATAAATGTAATTTTTAAAAATATATATTATTTTTATTTAATTTTCAAAATTGGCCAAAAATGTTAAATTATAGAAATGCCATTGGGTGACAAGCACCTCACTTTGGCAGCTTGCTGGCAGATGTAGGAGGTCTTCTCATAGCATGATCAACACCCAGCTTAGGGGTGGTTGACTCGTCATTTGAGAGGTATAAGAAGGGGGAGGAAATGATTGGAAGAGAGAGAGAGAGAGAGAGTAGATAAACTTCAGGAAACCTTTATCTTGGATTTTCAAGTTTTTTGTTGGAGTGAATTTGAGCACTAAAAGGAAACTTTGTGTAACATGTACTTACATGAATATTAGTTTGTAATAGTTTGAGAAGGGTATGTAAAATATGTGTATGTTTATACATAAATCTGTAGTTGTATGATTGTGGGTTGTTTTGTTATGCTACACTGTTACTCTGTTATGCTATTATGATGTTCCGTGGATCAAAATAACACCTGTTGAATGCCCAGGTCGAGTCGGGGTGTGACACTAGTTTTCATTACTGTAATTTGCCCAACTTACCTTTGTTCTTGTTCAATTGTGCGGTAATGTGATTTTCCTTTTGGGAGTAGGTTTTGTTGGGAAAGATCTCAACTGGAGCACAAAATGACTTGGAGAAAGTGACCAAGATGACCTATGCCCAAGTGGCGGTCTACGGTTTCAGTGACAAGGTAGGTCTTCTTTCCTTCCCTCCCAGGGATGATGCGTTTGAGATGACCAAGCCCTACAGCAGCAAAACTGCTGCAATTATCGACAATGAAGTGAGAGAATGGGTGGCTAAGGCGTACGACCGCACAATACAGCTGGTAGAGGAGCACAAGGAGAAAATAGCTCAGATTGCAAAGCTGTTGCTCGAGAAGGAGGTCCTGCATCAAGAAGATTTAGTTCGAGTACTTGGTGAACGTCCTTTTAAAAGTAGTGAGCCAACAAACTATGATAGGTTCAAGCAAGGATTCCATGAAGATAACAAGGAAACAAAAGACACCACTGAGGGAAAGACCCTTGAGGATGATGGTTCAACATCCTTGGAACCTGATGTGGTACCTGCATAGCGATCACCCTTAGAATAGTTTATGGTTTGTATAAATTATTTGCATTTGAATTGATTTTTTTTGCATTGCCTGCTTGACTACTTCCTTTATCTGAGCTCTTCTAAATTGTAAAAATCACGGCTTCTGCCTGATATTTCAGCCTCTAATGAGTATTCCATGATTAATGTCCCGTTTTCGGGCTCATGCCATAATGCCCATTTCAGAATTCTATTTAGTTTATTAGAATTGACCCACATAGCCAGCCATCAACATTTGGATTGTAAACTATTATGGTTATGGAGATCTATAACGAATTGTATTGGTGTGTGGAGATTATAGACAGCTCTGTTGGAAGTTTAAGCATCTGGAATCTCTTGTTTGATATTGTTAACTCCTTCTTAGAACAGCATCTATTTTCTTAGATATGATTGGGAAAAGCCAAATGGTATTAAATGGACGAAAGCAACTGGGCGGTTATAATGTGATTGAGACGTGAAAGGAATACTTTCTAAGCATCTTCATGACTGATTGTGTGGTGATTCTTGTTTTTGTCTACTTAGTTTCTTTGTTTGTTTATATTATGTAAGCTAAATAAATGGTGCCCTCGCAATTTTTTTTTGTATGCAATTATGTTAATTGATGCAGTCAATAATGCATTGCAAAGAGTTAAGACAAGGGCTCGGATTTTTTCTGTGTATTATTCTTTCCACGTTATTTTTTCAATCATAATCTGCCGTGTATTGGTGAGGGAAGTGGGTTTGACTTGAGTTTCAACAAATTTGAGTGATTAACGGGTGAATTTGTTAAATTTGTCACATAAGTGGGTCAATAAGAAATCGACTAAATACGATACGAATTTAACAAAATATAAACCTAGCTATTTAGGAATATGATGGATTGAGTATAAGTTGAACAAATTTTACCACGATATAACTTAAATAAAATATGATTCAAACAGTCACCACACATAAATTTATCTCTTTTGTGTGGAGCGACGACTTTACACAAAGTTCAACATTAATTCGATACGTAAGCGAGCTAGTACTGTAATAATCTAACAAGACAATTGATATATCAAAAAAGTATGAAAACAATACTTCAGTACACTGTCTATTGATAAGTCTACTAAGGTTGACAAAATCATATAAAGATTTAACAATAAAGCAAGTAAATAAAGTTTGATACTTGGGGGAGATTTTGCCACATTAGATGTGGAACCCACCAGACACTCGACGTGGCAATCTCTGGACACTATGTATCGGGTGTGTTTTGATCAGATATTAATATTGAAATTCAAAATTTTACACATATCACTCAATCTTATTCATCCTATACCTAACCAGAAGAAAAAGAAAAATTTAAAATATATGCCTCCTTAAACACCCAAATAAATAGATTTAATTTAGAAAGTGTATGTGGGATGCGGGGCCCTGCTCTATTCTAAGTGATGACACCTTGCTCAAACACACCTACACTCCTCGATGAAAGCCTTGGCTTTAAAAAAGTGACCAGCACAGGCTCTGATGTGATGATGTTATTATTATTGGCAGATAAAAAGTCCCGATTCTACTCAACCTCAGTTGATGGTGTGGTTCTGAAACACTTAAAGTTGGGAACCTCGTACTCTTTTGCTTGCTGGTTTTATTTCACACCTATTTCAGAGATAATGACACTTAATTGGGGAAATTACATTGACACCCCCCTTCAACATGTACGAAATGTCGTGGGCACCCCCGTTGGAGATTTTTATTAAGAAATAACATATTTTTCTTTCAGAATTTTGTCACAAAACAGAGTAAGAGAAAGAAAGAGCCGCGAGGGCAAGGCCCCTCCCCCCCCCCCCCCCC